CACTTTTCAGTTCATATATGATTATCAAACTTTAGGGTGTTCCCATACCTTTTCTTTGTAGCATATTTATGAACCACCTTACGTCATAGACAGATCAGCTTATCCTCATTTTAGCTTCTTCTTAAATCCAATAGGTATTATGACTTCTTTGATGGGTATTTTAGAAGTAGAGGTATATAGCTTGTATAACAAGTTAAGTAAGGTTGTTTTGAAGACAAGTTTTGTACATCAACCTCATCCCCGATCTATTGTCATAACAGCTCATGTATATATTCTCTCAAATTTGTTCTCATGTATCACATGCTTGACAACGACTTTAGAATCTATGTCGAAACGTCGCCTTTCACAGAATAATGAAGTTTTATATCCATAAAATTATCATCATTCCTCACGTATTATGACCTTTTCGGAACGGAATGTACTCATGAATAATGTTGATGTTATACTAATCTATCATGTTCATCACATCAAGGACATTTAAGAAGTAAATATTCACGGGGCATTAAATGCTTGAATCATTAAAATGCCAAGGCATTACTCAAGAAAGAGTTGACACTTTGAATCCAGTGGCATATTATATTCTGATCTGTGATATGTGATGCCTCTATAAAATATGCTCAATGAAAAATAAAAACAAGCACATTTCATCAAGTATACATAGACTACAAAACAGCAGAGAAGATTGTGCGACTGTGTTTATGAATCACCTTGAATTCGATGTGACTACAGAATGTTTGCGCACAAATGAGTGTATTCTACCCATCGGTTGCACCGTCACAAATACATGCAAAGCCATAGCAAGTGTTCAGCTGATGAAACACATCGTAAATATCAAAATTCGAAACGTCCTTCACAAGTCTACCATAAATCTTTACTGTGGCCTTAAATGGCGTATTTCTTTCATAATTAAACATTAATTGTACCATGTTCAATTTGAACACCATGAATAAAAGTAACGAAAGTGTGCGTTCTGAATTCTTAACACAATTAAAGCAATCACGACAGCTATTATGTTTCTTTACACACAGTGGACAGAAAGGCATGGCTTGTTTGAACACAACAGAAACCGAAAGCTGTCTATGTTTTTCTGAAAAAGTGGCACTTTATGGCTGATTCCGTTTCTGTTTACAAGTATCTGAATGTAACAAAATAGAATTCTCAAGTAGTTGGAAATTCTAGTTTGCCAAACGATGGGACACCTGCGCCCGAAGAGCATTGTCTGCATCCGTAGCGTGAGATCCCAACACAATTGAAGTTGCTTCAATTAATACCACTTAGAAGTCGCAATCCCACTTTAATCAGAGCATACTTCACCTTACAGTGCAGTCTCGGCTTTACCTCCTCCTGTGTTTAGACTCTAATTATGAAGGGATGCAGCAGTTGATTACATCCTATAGACGGAAGCAATTTGTAATTGTATATCATTGTACATCCTCAAATGATGCGGGAACTGACACCCTGTACTATTGTCCCGTTACTTCCAGGAACCCTTTGATCATGCGTTGTCTGTTCGCAAAGAGCTGTAATCATACTCCTGTCCTAGTGCAAGTTCCAATCGTTTTACTCTATGTACAACGCGCATATACCATATAAACCTTGGTGGTCAATTTGTTAGAGAGCTGGTAACGAGATATGATCATGTAATATATCACCGGATTGTAAAGGCCTCTCAAGTGTTTCTGGGCTTGTACGTAGGCGGAAAAGTGTTTGGCAATGCCGTTATCAGCTTTTATTAAAGGATGATGGTGGTTCTTTCAAAGTTATTTTCCTGATAACCAAAGCAGGAAATTGCTCTGAGGGCATTCAGTGTTCACCTCGTGTACGTTGTTTCTACGGTTCACCGGAATAACAAGTGAGAGTTGTATCTCTCTCACACAGACCTCCTTGTACGTGACACACTTCACCCCTGCACCTCACCGCACGCCACACCTGCACGTCACGTACTTCACCCCTGCACGTCACGCACGTCACCCCTGCACGTCACGTACTTCACCCTGCACGTCATGCACTTTACATCACGCACGTCACCCCTGCGTCGCACGTCACCCCTGCGTCATGCACTTCACCCTGCACGTCACGCACGTCACTCACACCTCACGTCACGCTGTCACCCTGCATCGTCACGTCACCCCTGCGTCATGCACTTCACACCTGCACGTCACGCACGTCACCCCTGCACGTCACGTACTTCTCCCCTGCACGTCACACGTCACGCTCGTCACCCCTGCACGTCACGTACTTCACCCTGCACGTCATGCACTTCACATCACGCTCGTCACCCCTGTACGTCACGCACGTCACCCTGCACGTCATGCACTTCACCCTGCACGTCACGCACGTCACCCCCGTCATGCACTTTACACGTCATCGTCACCCTGCGTCACTCACATCACACCCTGCACGTCATGCACTTCACCGCGTCACGCTCGTCACCCTGCACGTCACTCACGTCACCCCTGCACGTCATGCACTTCACACCTGCACGTCACGCTCGTCACCTTGCACGTCACGCACGTCACCCCTGCACGTCACGTACTTCTTCCCTGCACGTCACGTCACTCACGTCACCCCCGTCATGCACTTCACACCTGCACGTCACGCTCGTCACCTTGCACGTCACGCACGTCACCCCTGCACGTCACGTACTTCTTCCCTGCACGTCACGTACTTCATCCCTGCACGTCAACCACGTCACCCCTGCACGTCACGCACGTCGCAAAGCAGCTGGGAAGGAGAGTGCGCATTGTGCCCATTTTATTTGCAGTGTCGTTATTCGCTTGGTGCTAAAACCCGACATCATGACTTTTTACGAGCAAGGAAAGTTGAATTAAAGATGCCAGATAAACGTTTAATGTTAAAATTCTCGGTATTTACTGCGATTCATTAACAATATAACATGAGTCGTGGGAACAGTAACTGAGTGAGGTAATGGGTGAGTAAACGCCACTAACGGATAGTTACATTACGTCAAACTGTCAAAAACCGAGTCTCCACCAGACAAACCAAGCAATGTATCCATGAGAAGTGATCACCATCACAGGGATACAACAACAAGCGGTATGGTTAATTCGAATAGTTCGAAGTACTGATAATTAATTATATCGAGTTAATATGCTACGCACAAAGGATAGACTGACTGACTGAGTATGGTTTTACGCCGTTTTTAGCAATATTCCAGCAATATCACCGCGGGGGACACCAGAAATGGGCTTCACAAATTGTACCCATGTGGGGAATCGAACCCGGGCCTTCGGCGTGACGAGCGGACGCTTTAACCACTAGGCTACCCCACCGCCCCACAAAGGATAGAAGACCACGCAATTAGTTCATATTAATACTATGGTTACTATGTCAGGTTTTGACACATTAATCGTACATATATGTTAACATCAGGATGTCATTTTCTTTATGAGAAGATGGGATAATGCTATATTTTCCAATGGAAAATTTTTCCTTATTTTGTTCCGTCAAGCTCAAACAATTTGGTTGACCTTTTGCTACCCTAAAAACGCAAAATTCCAGTCTCATCAAAATCCCCATGCAAGACATATTTTTGTGTTTGATTGATTAGATAAAGTGTCATGTTGCTGAAAGAGCTTGTTTTGGAGACACTACCCATCCCCCTCTCAGATGACGTAATCATAGCTTATTCTGATGTTTTCACTTTTGCATACATGATGCCAAGGGTTCAAACTAAATACTGAATGGTCACACAAGTGTCAGCTCACAATATATTGTAAACAATGCCAGCTTGAATATATGGACACAATGTTTTTGAAAGATTAAAATGGGGGTGTCCTTAAAAATTAGCCCCCGGCTAAATATAAATCAGGCAATCTAAATCTTTGACTGTTGCTCATGACGGGAAGTCATCCAATACTATACTGAACATATTTTATATGACATTATCTGAGGGCATACCATTATCCAAGAGGTACTAAAAGACAAATCGTTTTTTTATTTTCTGCAATTTTGTTAGAATATTATACCCCAATGGGTTGTGATGACAAATATCTGGTTAACCACATTACACACACATCTGAAACTTTGGATATGGCTTTGCTAACGATTCCTTCAAAATAAAATAAGCTTTTGAAACATTAGACATCGAGAATATAGTTAATCTACGTACTTTTTGATCGACACTCGTAATCTTATCGTGAAAAGATTGAATACGAGATTATGGGAGAACACTATGTACAGTACAAAACTGTAAATGGTCTCCGAAATATAACGTATTTGTTAAGACACGACTGTTCAACAAAGTAAAATACATCAATATTACAAGCCGGGATACTGGCTGACATAAAAGATACAAGTCAGTACACAGTGAAAAGTACAGAGCTAAAAGGTAACAGGGGGTATTTCTTTGAGTAGAGAATCTGTAACGAAGATTCCATTTCACCAACTTGTAAGTTTTATTTCACGTTACCTCGAGGGTGGATAACTTCCTTTCCTAGGTGACAAACAACAGACCCCATGGGGTTCCCTATTTCCGGAGTTGACAGTAGTTCTGAACTCCAAAGCTAACAGGCTTCTCGAACGCCCGTCACATCAAATATGCAACAAGTCATCCCAGCAATAGAGGATCTGATCAACACATCTCCCAAAACGAATCATATAAGATACCGGAAAGCAAGGACGAGCGCACCCTGCTCTGACAGTATCTCTCACTGAGTGAGAAGAGCATGATCGCAGTTTACCACAAGAGTCATTGAAGAAGTAATGTTTTAGATAAGCGTAGAAGATTTTCCATGTAAGTTTAAAATGTGTTGACTTTCGAAGGGGTTTGGTAGAAAGTACAAATAAAACATGTCCTCACATGGTCTCCTTTCATTCATTTTACATACATTTGCCTATATTAATGTCTAAATATAGGATCTTGAAAATATCATAAACACCACGTTTCCTATAAGTCCACAACACGATACACAAACTTGGTACGATATGTTATCTGTTGGATAATTCAAGAAATTCACTCATCTCTATTATGATTTCAGATATGTTTTGGGGGCATATTCTTCTCTGACGGATGAGGTGTCAGCTGTGCTGGACAAGCTTCTAGACAATTACAACAAAGACGTTCGCCCAGGACTTGGGGGTAAGTAATATGTTTCCCGAAGTCCTTTTACAGCGGTACATTCCTGGACACTCTACAATACAACATGGACGCAAAGCTCTATTAAGTATGACATTAGTGATTGTTTGTGGTAGTATTTTAACGTAACACAAACTTACTGCTCCCATGCTACCTCAAGGATTTTACCTAATGCAAGCTTACTGCTACCATGCTATCTCAAGGTTTCTACATCAAACAAGCTTACTGCTACCACGCTATCTCAAGGCTTTTACGTAATACAAGCTTACTGCTACCACGCTATCTCAAGGCTTTTACGTAATACAAGCTTACTGCTACCATGCTATCTCAAGGTTTTTACCTAATGCAAGCTTACTGCTACCATGCTATCTCAAGGTTTCTACATCAAACAAGCTTACTGCTACCACGCTATCTCAAGGTTTTTACATAAAACAAGCTTACTGCTACCACGCTATCCTCAAGGCTTTTACCTAATGCAAGCTTACTGCTACCACGCTATCTCAAGGTTTCTACATCAAACAAGCTTACTGCTACCATGCTATCTCAAGGTTTCTACATCAAACAAGCTTACTGCTACCACGCTACCTGAAGGTTTTTACATAATACAAGCTTACTGCTACCATGCTATCTCAAGGTTTCTACATCAAACAAGCTTACTGCTACCACGCTATCTCAAGGTTTTTACATCAAACAAGCTTACTGCTACCATGCTATCTCAAGGTTTCTACATCAAACAAGCTTACTGCTACCATGCTATCTCAAGGTTTCTACATCAAACAAGCTTACTGCTACCACGCTATCTCAAGGCTTTTACGTAATACAAGCTTACTGCTACCATGCTATCTCAAGGTTTTTACGTAATACAAGCTTACTGCTACCATGCTATCTCAAGGTTTCTACATCAAACAAGCTTACTGCTACCATGCTATCTCAAGGTTTCTACATCAAACAAGCTTACTGCTACCATGCTATCTCAAGGATTTTACATCAAATGCAAGCTTACTGCTACCATGCTATCTCAAGGTTTTTACATCGTAAACAAGCTTACTGCTACCATGCTATCTCAAGGCTACATCAATACAAGCTTATGCTATCCAAGGTTTTACGTAAAACAAGCTTACTGCTACCATGCTATCTCAAGGCTTTTACGTAATACAAGCTTACTGCTACCATGCTACCTCAAGGTTTTACGTAATACAAGCTTACTGCTACCATGCTATCTCAAGGTTTCTACATCAAACAAGCTTACTGCTACCATGCTATCTCAAGGTTTTTACCTAATACAAGCTTACTGCTACCATGCTATCTCAAGGTTTCTACATCAAACAAGCTTACTGCTACCATGCTATCTCAAGGTTTTTACCTAATACAAGCTTACTGCTACCATGCTATCTCAAGGTTTTACATCAAACAAGCTTACTGCTACCATGCTATCTCAAGGCTTTTACGTAATACAAGCTTATTGCTACCACGCTATCTCAAGGCTTTTACGTAATACAAGCTTACTGCTACCATGCTATCTCAAGGTTTTTACGTAATACAAGCTTACTGCTACCATGCTATCTCAAGGTTTTACATCAATACAAGCTTACTGCTACCACGCTATCTCAAGGCTTTTACGTAATACAAGCTTATTGCTACCACGCTACTGCTACTCAAGGCTTTTTACGTAATACAAGCTTACTGCTACCACGCTATCTCAAGGTTTTACATAATACAAGCTTACTGCTACCACGCTACCTCAAGGTTTTTACGTAATACAAGCTTACTGCTACCACGCTATCTCAAGGTTTTACGTAATACAAGCTTACTGCTACCATGCTATCTCAAGGTTTTTACGTAATACAAGCTTACTGCTACCACGCTATCTCAAGGTTTTACATAATACAAACTTACTGCTACCACGCTATCTCAAGGGTTTTACGTAATACAAACTTACTTGCTACCACGCTATCTCAAGGCTTACTGCTACCACGCATCTCAAGGGTTTTACGTAATACAAGCTTACTGCTACCATGCTATCTCCAAGGCCTTTACGTAATACAAGCTTACTGCTACCATGCTATCTCAGTGCCTTTACGTAATACAAGCTTACTGCTACCACGCTATCTCAAGGTTTTTTTTACGTAATACAAACTTACTTCTACCATACTACCGCAGTGCCTTTATAAGTAATACAAGCTTACTGCTACCACGCTGCCTCAAGGTTTTTACGTAATACAAACTTACTTCTACCATACTACCGCAGTGCTTTTAGTAATACAAGCTTACTGCAACCACGCTGCCTCAAGGTTTTTACGTAATACAAACTTACTTCTACCGTACTACCGCAGTGCCTTTAAGTAATACAAACTTACTGCAACCACGCTACCTGAAGGTTTTTACGCAATACAAGCTTACTTTTAAGTTATTCTTTTAGGTAATACAAGTTTACTGCGACCACCCTACTTCAAGGTTTTTACGTAATATAAATTTGTCACTATATCTCTACCTGTAGAACGTTTATGTAATGCAAGCATATCGCTACCATGCAACTTGAATGTGGGTAGGGCGGGACTAGCTCGTTTGTTTTGCGAACACCTGGTGTCATCACAGATTTCTATTGGTCTATTGATTATATTGTCACCGCTATTCAGCCGGTTGTGTCCAATGGAAACTGTATCAGCGGATATTGGAGTCATCTAATTAGTGACGCGCATGAATGGATTAACGAGATTCCCACTGTCCCTATCTACCGTGGCTATTCTCTGGAACTTATATTCACAAGTTATGTCAATGCATTTCATTGAATGTAAGTCATCGTTTTGCTTTGACGAATTGCCAACATAAACAGAGTTTATAATAACGGGATGTGTGCATTATACATCTTGAATCAATCTTATAGTATCTAGGGTAAATTTACAGATATTTATCCATAAGTTAGTACTGAGCTTTAAAGAACTAAGTCAATGACCAACTAATATACATTGTCTGGGAATGGTAATATGGTGTATCATAGCATAAGGGCTTGCTCAATGTAAGGCAAACTAAGCCCAAAGCTATGAAATATTTAAAATTAATTCCAACCCTACCACCGCTTCTGGACAAGAGGGTCTTGATCTGACATTTTGGCCTCCCTTAATAGATTACCCATGTCCCAGTGTGACAATATAGTATGTTTTATATATAGGATAATTCAATTATAGGCACGTCTAGTAGAGTGTATAGGGAATGCTTGGTCAATTTTAATGATCCTTTGTAAACACAAAAAGCCTTAAGGAATTGCCCAGTTTATGCTCAAGAGTCATATTCGACTACTGTTCTACTGACCGATTCTTCCAGGGTCAGGTACAGATGGTAGCTCGAAATGGTAAATGCCAAAACTACGAAAGGACAAACGGTGTTATCTAGGGTTTGGAATGTCTCGGAAATGGCTATGAAACGAATAATACTGACGCGACATAGTGATCTATGGTGATCTTAAGATTCACAGATATTTACTCCATCGATGGTAAAGAGCGCCAAACAAATATGCCGATATGTTATAGATGCCATCATATTGAATGGTGTAATTCCGCTGGGAATGGCTCAAGAGGACCAATATATGTCATTTATCTGTATTAACTGTAGTCGGAATCGTCGCGTTAACAATAACAATACATATGATCCAGACACGTATCCATAGATGAAATATTAACCGTCAACGCCAGAAAATGCCCAGTTAGGTAATTAGGGATTACACCAAGTGTTCGCGAAAGCTCGTTTCACCGAAGAACGAGCGACCTGCTTGTTTACTGTGAAAAAAGAATAGTCGTCAATCCGATAATCTGTTAAATGAGATTGGATTAATGAAATTCATATTTTCATCAGTTATTTCTATTTATGATATAATCTTAACAATATATTCATACCAAAGTCTACCTCATTCACAATTTATTTCCATTTACAATGTAGTGTAGCTCAACCCTTTGACGTATTTTATGGCAGTTGTTTATGAGTGAGTGAGTGAGTGAGTTTAGTTTTACGCCGCACTCAGCAATATTCAAGCTATATGGAGGCGGTCTGTAAATAATCGAGTCTGGACCAGACAATCCAGTGATCAACAGCGTGAGCATCGATCTGCACAATTGGGAACCGATGACATGTGTCAACCAAGTCAGCGAGCCTGACTACCCGATCCCGTTAGTCGCCTCTTACGACAAGCATAGTCGCCTTTTGTGGCAAGCGTGGGTTGCTGAAGACCTATTCTACCCCGGATCTTCACGGGCCGCAGTTGTTTATGAGCAACCATTCGGTACAATAGGGTTAAATGACATAACAATACAACGCTCTATCACTGAATCCTGTCATCCTCAAGTCCTGTAATTAGGATATTTTCATGCAATTTTGATTCCAAGTTGGCCCACAATATACATTCCTGTCGGTAATGAATTTATACAAATCCCGCTGAAATTGTCAATTATCTCATCACAATTTAGTGCTTAGCATTTCTTCCAGTTTGATTGGTTGTCAAACTCCCAGAGCAGGATACTTTGGCGATGAATGCCTCGAGAGATGTTCACCGTCATTATTGGCCAACTGAGCTTTATTATTCAGTGATGTGTGCAGACCAGATAAGGATGTAACTCTTTAACCAGCATGTGTGGTGTTTGAGTAATAGGATATAGGACTGTATAACTTCGCAATCCTGCTGATAATGGGCACCAGTACCCTTTTCAAATAGTCGAAAAAGTCTAAATTAAGCTTTGAATTTTGTGAAATCTTGTGGCATCGTTTACTGTTTGATCAAGTTAGAATTGGGTTTTGAGAGTAGTAATTTTCTGCGAAGTAAAGAGCTATTCCTGTGCTCCATTACGGAAAACCAAACAAAAATGGGAGAGAGATTGTTACCAAATGAGACTCTTCATTCTCGACAAACATAACCACAGCCAATGCGCTCAAAATCAATGGAATTTTCAAAAGCAAACAACCGTAAGAAAAAAGCATTGAGAGATGCTTAGGACTTCTATTGATGGACTCAATGT